TAATTTTGTTAGGTTTCTAAAATTGTGCTCTATCGATTGGTGTATTTAGTTCATGTTTATACGTGTTGACATTAGGAGTGATTAAATCATTGAGGATGCTTAATAATATTAAGTTAATTATTGTAGAAATTTTTGTGGTAAATTGGTGATAGCTTTTGTCCTAAAATTTTTATAGTAGCTTCATTATATTATTATGTGCTCACTGTAATTTTTGTAGCCTTAGAATAGACTAAACATTAGGGTAGTTAAATGCTCTTTGTTTCAATATACATTAAATCATTAGTAGAAATAAAGATATACCCTTAAATTGTAAAACTGAGTGTGTGTTAGTTGAACCCAACACTTTGCTTGATTAAAATAATAGTTAGCTTAGTATCTTAGTCATTAGAGCTATCTTAGTAGCTTAGTATGCGCATTTTTATTTTAAAAGTTGTTGTTGCCTAAATGCTAAGTGTTGCATCATCATCGCATGTATGTAGAGAACGAGTTGGCGGAGATCGTGACCACCGGCGATCATGAGTTCGAGGAGATCGTCGAGGAGTACGAGGAGGAGATTCTCGTGCAGGAGGAGGTCCCAGAGCCGCCACTGACTGACTCAGCTGACATGCCTGCCCAAGGCAAGCCCCGGTGCATAACCTCTATTTTATAATTCACCGTATATAAATACGTTGTGCATTTACGTTACAGGAATTTTATAGAAACCACATGCATAGATACACTTGTCCTAAGAGTCTTACAAGTGCAGGTTTGAGTGGATGCTATGCTTAGGTCATCGGTAGCGTGAGTAACCTGTCGTTGCTCACAATAGAGGATTATTATTACTCTCATAATAAAATGATGAAAGAAAAAATGAAGACAGGACAGGGATATGGTATAGGTATTGGTAGGTTTAACAGGTTGTGTCCCACGGCCAACGGAGCTTAGCTTGGTTACACTGTTTTCCCTGTTCATATCGATTAAGGACCATCCGTTGCTGTGGATGGTAGTCAGGTCACAGACTTATTATCCTAAGCACATACTTGCTTATAGGAGCGGGAAGACTCGTTACGCTCTTGTCGTGTGTTTTGGCTCTTTCCAGACCGACTAATTAGAGGTGGGGACAGGTGGAGCTCTAAGCACCATGTTGAGATCGGGTCTCAAGTGTGGAGGCTTGGAGTCCAAGTTTGAATGAAGACCTAGACCCCGTGATAGGAGTGTAATGGTTTGGTCTTGTTTGTGCCTGGGGTGCAAACATGGCGTGTGTTTCGGGATACCTAGCTATGATACATTGATTCGTGAATCGCTGTTTCCATGAGACATACGACTTGGCTATGGTCTAGCACCATAGTAAGAACTGGAAGATGAAAGATGGTGAAATGGTTATGATTGCTTAACCTTTTGCTTGTAAGTAGAACAGGTGCTTACCTAGAATGGTTAGCTAATGAAGTAATCATAACTGCTGATAAAACTTAACTGTAAGGATGAACTATTAGTAATGCTTTCCGCAAACAAAAACAAAACAGTAAACCCATATTGCCTATCACATCCTTGAGAGTCGGGAAACTATTCCCACTAGTCGGGTAAGTCTTGCGAGTACATTGTGTACTCAGGGTTTATTTTACTCTTGTTGCAGGTGCAACTTAAGGAGTAGCTCTTATGTGGAGGATTCTTCTGGTGGGCATAAACGGATCCTTGTATCGTTTTCGCTAAATGTTTATTTTTATTTTACTGTTTAATTATCGCACTCTGAAATCTGGTATTGTAATAAATAATTTCTAATAACTCTTGTTGTATGAAATGGACTAAGTATTTTAATCTCGTACTCATTATTGGATTCTGGATGTAAAACGTGGATTGTTTTGAGTTTTTTCTTAAGGTGCGTTCGACGGAACTGTCCAATATAGCTCACTTTTGAGTTGCTTAGTGTCTAGTGGAAGACGAGCGCCTTCGAAAGCGTGTTATTTCGAACGGTTCTGCCACACCGACCTTCAACCCATCATTGACATGATGGACGACATTCTGCCAGGCTCGAAAGCAGCCATGATGACTTCTTGTCACTACAAGAAATATGGGCTTCTATGCTAGATGACATAGCACTTATCTATCACAAGCAAAGGCTGTTTATGACGATTTTTCATAGGATGGCAAGTGTTTTATGACCAAGCTGTGTCACCACGGTTCGCACCTTGCTCACTGTGGTTCCTGTCTATATGTTGATCGCGTTGGATGTGACCAAGTGGGTCATTCGAGCCATCGACAAGCGTAGGCGTGCGTTCCTTTGAAAAAGACGACAAGAGGTCCATGGGGGATTGGGGGACATTGCCCCATCGCCTGGAAAGGGCTTGCCGTCCACCAAAACTGGGCAGACTTGGCATCCGTAACTTAGGAACCTTGGGTTAGGCACTTCGCATGCGCTGGCTATGGCCTTGGGTTCTCTTTGATATCCACGTTCATCCCAATTTTCGAGCCTTATTTGCCATTTCAGTCTCCACAGTGGTCGACAATGGGAAATCAACCATGTTTTGGACCTATAGATGGCTCCATGGAAAATTGATCAAGGACGCAGCGCCAACATCGGTACCATTCATTAACAAAAGGGCTCTCTCAAGGCGGACGGTCCATGAGGCGCTACAAAACCAGAGATGGATCAAGGACATCCAGGGTGGCTTATCCGTTCCGTCCAACGTATGGTACCTTCAGTTGTGGGACATGCTTGAACGGTTCTAGCTCCAAGACGACCAACAAGACCTTCACGTTTGGACTCGGACCCTTCAGGAGTTTAATTACTCCGCCTGGTCAGCTTACAAACGCTTCTTCACAGGGGCTATCAGTTTTGAACCTTGCAAGCGCTTGTGGAAATCTTGGGCGCCGCTTTGCTGTAAGTTTTTCCTTTGGCTTGCCACACACAACCGATGTTGGACAGCCGACCGGCTAGTGCGTATAGGACTACAACATCTGGCGAGATGCGTCCTGTGTGACCAGGAGGATGAGACAATCCAGCATTTCCTCACCTTAAGCGTGTTCGCTCAACAGCTTTGGTCCTGGCCTTTACCAACGTCGGGGCGCATAACTTGGCGCCGAGATGAGGGCATTAGGTCTTCCATGAGTGGTGGCGACGTGCAACACGATGAGCGCCCAAGACCCAACGCAGGGGCTTCAACACTTTGGTGATCCTCATCGCCTGGACATTACTGAAACATCGCAACCAATGCCTCTTTGATGGGGGAGCAACCAAGCGTTCAGGTCGTGCTACAAGAAGCTGCCGACCAAGACCATTTATGGATCCTTGCAGGCGCAAAGGCGCTAGCCCAGTTGCTTCAATGAGTTTTTTTCTTTGTGTGGAGGGTGTTCTGTATTTGATTTTAGGGCATGTGTGTCTCTAAAAAACTAACCCTGGCCGTGAATTTGGCATGTTGTGGTGACCGTTTTTTCCACCTATTAATACAATTACACGCAACTCTCCTACGTGGTAGAGAAAAAAAAGACAACTTACTGATTTTGTTGAAGGCCACATTGTCACGCTCTGGATGTACTCATTGGCAGGTTGTAGAGATGGTCCTCAATTAAACTGTCGACAGAAACATGGTCATCATAATTTGCACCTTCTTGATGCCATATCCAACCGGATCAAACCAAATTTAACAAGACATGACAGGTTTTGTTAAATGTGCTGCATCATGAAGGTGCAAATTTAACCACATTTGGCCATTCTACAAAGGATGAGATCTCAAGTTTGGAAAACAAACAAACCTGATTTACAAGACATGAAAAGTTTTGTTAGCACTACTTTGGAAAGTAGAATAGCATGGAAGAGCAGAGTGACATACATGCACCCAAGAGCAGGCCCTCCATCTTCACACTCCTAACAGCTTCATCTGGCTTTTGCATTAACTATCGGTCTATCACCCATTACAGCTAATAATTACCTGCTAAAAAATAGTTGGAGACCAACTTTGGCCCCCAGCTAGTAGTCTGGCTAGTGTCTTAACTATCATCCATCTAGAAATTCGCTCTTAGAACATCTCCACCGTACCTCGCTCGTGATGCACCCAGTGCGGCGCCCCGCGTGGCGACCTCAATGGTGTCCTCTGCCAGCAGATGAGCACTGGCCGTGGATGCAAGAATCCAAAGGTGGTCGTGAGTTGACTGAAGAAAGGGGATTAATAAGATTCTCTAGTTCTTCCTCTTTTTTCGAGGGATTATGGGAAGGTTTTGAGGGATAGAAAAAAATTTAGAAAAAGAGGATTTGAAAAGAAGTTATATATATATTTTTTGCAAAAATCTCCTTTATGACTGGTCATCGGGAAAAGAGATCGAGTTTTATTAAGACCAGTCTCAGTGGGGGTTTCATGGCCCAGTTTCCAACACAATCATATTTTGGAAACAGTGCAGAAGAGTTTTATCTCCATAAAACTCTCTTTGCTCCCATGAAACTTTCATGCTTTCTCTCTTCATTGATACAGTGCCATGTCAGCATATTTAATGCCATAAAACTCTTATGAAACCCCGTTGAGATTGACCTAACCGGTGAAAATGATCCTAGCCAGTTCCCTTTAGCTAGTAGGACTAATAGTTTGACGAAGGGATCACACATGACCTGAATAACACCATTTAAAAGGCTGAGAATGGTAAGGGAAGGCAGAGTATGAAAGTTAAACTCGTTTGCAGATAAGAAAATTTTAATTTTATAGTATCAAACAAGAAAGCACAACTTTTTTAAATTATTAATGGCGAATTCTCTTATACAGCAACGAGGACACACGGACCGTGAACAAGAAGATCCATTTGGGCCCTTCACGGCTGCTCCGGCTCAAACATGGCGCATGGGCTTGGCCTGCCTAGAGCGGTCGGCCCATATCTAGGATTGCGGGCGTGCAGCGTGCCCTCAGTTCTTCGCCTCTTCCTATCTATCGCGAGCGCCGGCGGCGGGCGACTGCTAGGGGAGTGGAAGAGGTAAGGGCGGCGGCACGGCGCTCGCGGCCAGGGAGTGGAGGAGATCCAACGCAACCTCCGGACTCGCGATGGGGCGGCGGATCCTCAACGACGCTCTGCGCACGATGGTCAACGCAGACCGGCGGGGGAATGCGACGGCGCGTCTCCAGCCCATCTCCGGCGTCATGGTCTCCTTCCTCAACATCATGAAGCACCGAGGTAGTATTCCGCCTCTTACTAGGTAGCAGCCACAACCTCCTTCCTTTACCAGCTTGCATACTGCAGCCTCTCCCTTCCCCAATCTCATCTCGTCGTCCGATTTACCCAAGAAATACACCAGGCTTTGATGCCGCTTCTAAGTCGTTAATTAAGGAAGTAATCAATCCATTTCTAGGAGAAGCACACGTAATGGTGGACGTGCTGCTAGGTGGTTAAGGCGAAAAGAGAACTGACCCCCTCGTGTTGACATCGAAGTTTCCTTCTTCAGTACTGTGTGCTCCTTATACGTCGATGAGAAAATTGCTAAAATAGGACTCCCAAACATGTGCCTTTGCTAAAATAGGACTCCTAACGTTGGCTTTGCTCAAATAGGACTCGAAACGTTGTCACTTTGTTATAATGACATTTTGACACTTTTAATCACATTTGTCATCTCAAATACATGTATTTTGCCTTGAGCTGACTATTTTGCCCTTAGGCCTTTAAAACACGTGTATAGGTGGGCTGCTGGCCGCTGCCTGGGCTGGATGGCCGGCCGCCTGGCCATGGCTTGGCTGGCCATGGCCTGGGCTGGCTGGCTGCCACCTGGGCATGGCTGGCCGTGGCCTGGGCTTGCTGGCCGCTGCCTGTACAGTGTAGTACGTACAACATGTACAGTGTAGTACGGAACAAACAAGACTGCCTCGTATACGTACTGCATGCATGCATATATGCATATATATACAAGATTGAAATAGGAAAATGATGATCCAAGCAATATATAAAACACATGAATTTAGGACAAACAAGTTCATATCATAAAACCATGATTCTAGCAGTTACAAGTTCATCGCATAAGACTATAATTTAGTTTAAAACAAGATCCAAGTCATGAAATAAATCATGAGCAGTTTACATCTCATCACACAACTAAAGTAATTCATCCAATGTGTAGCTTCCTCTTCGGTGTCATCTTCTTGGGTGCTGCAGCGGTAGGCATCCTCACGGGACTATTGGTGTCAACTTGTGAAGATGTGCCCTCCCCTAATAACGTCGCAAGCATGCTGCACATAAATTCAATACGACAAGTAGATGTTTGGAAAAATTAGTGTATGGTAAATGTGTCAATTTCTATATTTATAATTTTTTACCTTCTTGTGACCCTTCCTGGACTATCACGTAGAATTTCTTCTCTAGTCGGCCTCCGTGGAGTGCTAGGTTCCGCTGGCTGTATTGTAACATTTTTCCTTGGTTGCCTACGCTTTCTAGACAATCGAAGATAACAATCACAAACTTGAGCAATCCAAGTTAATCAGAAAAAAAAATCAACGACTTCTCACATGCTACAGAGGCAATAATGCAAGCAAAGCAAAGTTCAGAGTTCTTATATGCATATATATGCTAGTGGCCTCATATACGTACTGCATGCATGCAAAGGACAAACAAGATTGACTTGGAACAAACAAGACTGCCTCATATACGTACTGCATGCATGCATATATGCATATATATACAAGATTGAAATACATGTACAGACTAAACAAAGTTGTGGAATGTACAGACTATTTACCTCTTTTTTGCAGTCCCATTGAGCGGGCACTTGGAATTAGCTTGCCTATGACTTTTTCTCCGCATCTTTTGCAAGTCATAGGTCCTCTGATCATCTTCTTTCCCTTTGCATTTGTTGGAGCAGTATCATTGTCACATCCCTTCTCACCCTCCATCTCATTGGTAAATTTTCCATCTTTGGAACCTTTCTTCTTGTGTCCACCTTCCATCCATCCCTTGATTCTTAGTTTCATCAATCTTCCAGGAGGTAATTTAGCTAGAGGTGCACCAACTAAAAAAGGTAGGTCGACTTCTGGCCATTGTGTTTTATCTGTCATCGGTTCAATCTCTCTTCCTTAAGCCGCCCTAAACCTATTCATCGAGTAGTAGTCATGCACGAACTGTTCTAGGTCAATTCCCCTTTGGCGGGTTACATAGGCCAATACATCTTGACATGGCTTACCAAAGGTGTCTTTGCCATTCTTGACAAGTACAAGTCCTTTGCTCTAACTTGACAATGTGTCACAGAAACGCCGCTGCTATGGTCCCACACCTCTGCACTCCAATTAGAACATTTCACAATTTTCAAGTGTCCCAAACCTCTAGTATTTGCTCTTAGCTGAACCATAATATTTGGGAGAATCACGCCTCGGGTAGCTTTGTATGCAATAATTCTTCTCTTGTGCCACAAGTACCATGATCATTTCTCGATCTTATCAGCAAGGTCGGTAGAATGGTAGGTCCTTATGGTCTCTAATCCGGTTATTAAATGACTCAAACAATGTTACTAGTTATGTAGTCACACTTAATGTCCGGATTGAAACCACACCTATACCATAGAAGCTTGTGATTGGCCCTGTAACCATTACTTAATCGCTTTCGATGATTCACTTAGCATTTTGCTAAATTGTCATAGAAAATCTCCTCTCTGTAAGCTCTTGCAAAGCAGGATATATCTGGATAAACCCTCTAAATCTCTTTTTGAAGTTTCTGGCTAGATGATAAAAGCATTCCCTTTGCTCTGCATTTGGGAATACATTCTTCACTGCATTCTCTAAGCCTTTGCAAGCATCAGAACATATAGCAAGTAGTGGAGGATCACCTATAGCCTTCTTCAACTGTTCCATGAACCAAGTCCAGTTGACTGTTGTCTCAGAAGCAATGAAGCCATAAGCGACTAGATACATCCAATTGTGACCATCAACTGCTACAGCTGCGGCCAAGTGACCATTCCACCTTCCATTAAGGGCTGTAGCATCTATGCTCAAATGAGGCCTACAACCTTCCAAGAAACCATCAATACATGGTTTAAGAGCACAGAAAAAACGGTGGAAATATACCTCACCATCCACCTCAAGAACATCAATCTCAACTACACTCCCGGGGCTCCGCTTCTCGACCTCGGCCTTCCACCTATATAGCAGCTGAAAACTCTCTGACCATTTGCCATAAACCTCATCAAGAGCTTTTGCTTTACCCCGCCACACTGTCATATGCAATTTCACACTTGTGATCTGTCTCTAACCTCTTTTGCAGTTCCCTAGCACCAATATTTGGTTCAGCTCTAAGTATACTCGCAGCCCATAGAGCTACCCACTTGCAATTTGGAGTTGTAGTTGCCATCCTCATGCTAGACACACATGTATGGTCATTGATTAAGATGGTAACCTGCAAGAAAAAATAAATCAATGAGATATATTGTGTACTGTTGCATCATATATAGACACACATATGTACTGTTGCATCATATATAGTACTACATGGCAGTAAAACACTTTCATCCGGGCAATTAAACACAGGCAATGTAGAATTAATGAAATAAGCCCTGTATACCTCCGTTGTAGCGCTGCCTTGCAGTTTTATGCCATTTATCCTCCAAATGCAAGGGCGATCTTCATCACCGGAATTGCAATAAGCCCTATATACCGTCTTAGTTGACTTCTCTACTCGTAAATGGAACTCCTTGTTGATGGCAAATTGCCGAACTGCCAGCTTGAACTCCTCCATTGTTGGGTACATTGTCCCTACCTCCATTGATGGGTTCTTCTTATCATACGTAATGACCATCTCACTGGGTACGGCATCACTAGTAGGGATGGCAGCACCATCAATATCTTGCCCAAGCGCAGTATCATTCACTTGTTCATCCATTCCGCAACCAAAGCCTTGTGTAGGTACATTTGTTGACTCATTTGTTGTGCCCTCTTCTGTCAAGCCTAAAAACTCACACATCCGGCTCTCGCTCATAACTTCAATTCGACCTTCATCATCATGTGTTTCCAAAATTTGTAATGTTGCCCAATCAACTTTTCCTATAGTTTCCACATCATTCACTTCGGACCTATAAACAAGCCAAACCTAGTTTTATTTCTGTACGGTACTTGTACTGAAAAAAAAATAAAAGATCTAGTGGATGCAATATATACCTTTGCACTTGAAGAACAGAAATGTTGCACTCTCTTGCCGGATGAGGAGCAGTAGGCAGAAGTGACCTTGCTAGGGCTAGAGCATCGATGGAGGCCTCCACTGCTGGATGGAGGCCATCGGTTGCCCTAGCCTGGGCAGCTTTGCCATCAGGTGCCGCGGCCAGTGCACCAGCTTGGTCGGGCAGGCCAGCAGGCGCCGCGGCCAGGGCACCGGGCGACGCCGAGGCCAGAGCACCGGGCGACGCCGCGGCTAGGGCACCAGGCGCGGCCTCGGCTAGGGCACCACGCGCGGCCAGGGCTTCGGTTGCCTCCAAGTCCATGGCCGGCGGCGTCGGCAGGGAAGGAGGGGCAGCGGGCGGAGGTTCTTCTCCATCCATGGCTGGCGGCGTGGGAGGTGAAGAACGGGCGACGGCTAGCGGTGTTCGCGTACGGAAGAGAAGGAGGAACGACGCGCTCGTGCGCCGTACGGAAGGAGGAACGACGGGATGGGGCAATGAATCGACACGGATAGATTAGAATACCAGAAGGGCAATACAGTCAATATGAGAAAATACATGTATTTGAGTTTTGGAATATGATTAAAAGTTGTCAAAATGTCATTATAACAAAGTCACAACGTTTCGAGTCCTATTTTAGCAAAGCCAACGTTAGGAGTCCTATTTTAGCAAAGGCACATGTTTGGGAGTCCTATTTTAGCAATTTTCTCTACGTCGATAGTTTATCAAAACCATACCTCAGCTTCAGATTAGTGTCCAGTGCGTGGGTTGGCAAACAGCTTTACGCAGGTGAAGGCAAGAGCGCACATTCACCAGATGTTAACAAGTCTATTTTCCACCAAGCATTCCTGACTTTCGAATTAGTGTTTTGCCTTACTTCATTTGTCAACAGAGCTCAATGAGCACAAATTGACATCGAGTAGTTGGAATGTTGGATGCTTTTCCCCACTTTTAATGGCTTATGCATGCTGCCTGCAAGTCGATTTTCTAAAATTTTGCATCTAGACAGTATTCTTTTTGCTGTGCGGTTTGTTGTTCTAAACAAATGTGCTTATGGATTTTGTTGATGCTTTGCAGGTTATATAAAAAACTTCGAGGTCATTGATCTGCATAGAGTGGGGAAAATTAATGTGGAGCTTCATGGACGTATTAAAGATTGCAAAGCTCTTACTTACAGGCAAGACCTCAGAGCTAAGGAAATAGAACAATACAGAGTTCGGATGCTCCCAACGCGGCAGGTATTTTGTTTACTCATATCTATGGACATTACATGTCCTGTTAGTTCCATTATTCTTTTTATTTTATTGTCTTCCTCGAAAATGTTTGGCAAAAGCACATAATCTGATAATGTCATGTCAGTCAGACAACTAACTGATATGGCTGCCTATTGTGCATGCTGTTTTCGATACTCCATGCAATGTTCTATCCAGTATGCTAGGTTTGCATATAATCCTGTCGTGTCCCTTGGATGGTTATATCCTCCCAGTTTAGTTTCAGAACTAGAGCATACTCCATTCAGATTTTCCTCACCTGTTCCCATACAATGTGCTGTGCAGTTGGGTAGGTGTGTATATAAACCTATACTTATCCCTTGGATCTTTGTCTGTTCAGTTTAGCTTTAGATCTGGAGCATACATTTCACATGTAGTCAGCATGGTATCACTAATACATATCCTGTTTATTTGGTCTGTTTTTCTTTGCAGTGGGGCTATGTTGTGATTACTACTCCGAATGGTGTTTTGGATCATGAGGAAGCAATCAGGCAGAACGTGGGTGGGCAGGTCCTTGGTTATTTCCATTGATTGACAAGGAGCACCATTCTCTAGTCCCGAATGAGGCAACAGGTTGTGCCCATCTGGCATTATTACACTGTTGTTATTACTGAACCCATTCTGTTTGCATTTTGGGAGCTGTTTTGCTTTCGTTCATGGCCATGCAAGAAATGAAATAACATGTCAAAAATACGGCTCACAACACTAGGAAAATTGTTAAACAGAAACACTGTAAGTTTCTTTTGAACTGATTTCTAGTAAATCTGTTCTGCACCACATATTCAGAGATACAAGGGTGTTGCTAAATTTAATTGAGATTCTATGATCCTGCTACAAAAGCATGTTCCTGTCATGTTGTCATGATAGCTTTTCTGAGACCTTTCCTGTAGGGAGGGTTGAGCACACATTGGTAGTTTCGTTAGTGCCTGAGCTGTGTTTCAGATCTTATTTGCAGCACTGCTTGTAGCCCCTTTTTGTTTAGAAAAATAATGTTGATGGGTCTGTTTGATGAATGGCGAATGTGACGGGTGTCTGAAAGAAACCAATGTCGCTGGTTTTGTAGAGTAGCTGTAAATGTGTTCAATGTATTGGCTGGGATGCCATGTGAATGTGTTGTCTTTATATGAACTCGTCATTCTTAGTGTGATGCTGTGCACTACATGCTGGAGATGTTTGCTCCTGGGACAGTTGTGCTATTTAGTACCAAAGATGTTTCCATGAATGTGGTTACCAGATAGATGTTATGGTGTTGGACTGATGCTTAATAATAAAATAAATTGGTGGCGTGTAACGGGATTTTTCCCCCTCCGGAGGAACTGAACTTGCACCTACAAAAATTACCCAGGTTGAATACTGGTGTCCTTTTTGGCTAGCATTTCTATCTAGAGTTGAGAAAGGGACAGACGTGCTGCTTGAGTACCATTAACTCAGTCATTACATTCCCTGGCCAGGCTCCTCTGGCTCCAGCTTCGTGCTAATGTACCGATCGGGCTCCTAGTTCATTTCACGAGAGATAGAAAAGACTATGAGCTACAAGAAGTTTGCCAAATAAAGTTTTACACAAAAAGCAGCAGTGCAGGCGTGGAGCACATACAAATGCATTAAGAACATGCTGCTCGTGAAATGAACTAGGTGCAGGCGTGGAGCACATGCTGCTCACAAGTATGCTGCCTACAAGCTACAGACGACGTAGCACCATAGTATCAACTATCAAGCAAACCAAATTATACATGGGTTGTGCATTTCTTATACCCCTAGTGCCAAATTATCACCAAAAAAATGCAAATAAAGATTTCCAAACTAAGTTCCCAAGTTAACATCGGCTCTGAAGGCTTCCAAAATATACACAACTCCAGCAACGTTCCACAAAGAAAATCCAAACAAATCATCTTTCAGGCAACAAATGCAGTCATTTTTACAGCAAACCAGTCCAAACGCAAAACACATAATTGCTGGTGTCATAAGCGGTGCAGACAGTAATGAAAACTAGAACAAGGTACTCCACTCAACTTTGGTTCCTTCATGATCCAGTTTTTTGCAACAAAATCAGCTCATCAGTATTCCTGCAGAAGTCCAAAGCTAGATTCAGATAGAATATCAGTGGTGGTTCTTGTCGTAAATTCATAAAAGTAGAGCAAAGGATATGTAAGTGAACCTAATAAACCCCACAGATGCTATTGTATTATATGAGATCAGTAACAAAGAAACTAAGGCAGCATACAGAACTGAATAAGAGATTGGATATGGGTAGCTCCACAACCAAGCAGCACACAAACTACCGTGCCTGCTGCTAGGAACTATTTAAACCACTGAGGATTGGAAAGATTGATGACTTAACAGGACAAGACAAACATAAATACACAATCCACTAGCAGTCTAGCACATACAAATGCATTAAGAACAGTCCATTGGAGTACATTATTTATTCCAAAGGAAAACGTTCATGATGTGCATACAGCCTAGCGAAGTACTTCGAGAAAAAAAATGCAAAACAAAATGATGACTGAGGCCCCAGTACAACTGAAAGATCTTAACAGTAGTACCAATCGGCTTTCTCCAAAGGTTGGCTATCAGCATTTCTATTGGCCACCTTGGCCAAACTAGTCATCCATCAAAAAGAAAAGGGGAGAATGTGGTTTGAGATCACAAGTCCCAGAACTCATATAAGAATGGGCATTAATGCTGCTTGAATCAGCTTCAACTTATGTACTTCTCAAAGCTTAGAAATACATGTGGGAGATTATGTGGAACTGTCACTGAATGTTTAAGGCCCATTCAAACCAGAACACAGAAAACAAAGATTCAAGCCAAAGACATAGGGCTCCTGGACCTTGGAAACAGAAGCTAACGTACAAACAAGCCACTGACAAATATTCTTGGTTAAGTGGAGAAAGGTTCAAATTTGAGAAAACACACAAACAAGCCCACACTGAATCTAAAGCTAGGACAAATATGCTCCTAAACTACTGGTTGTGTGAGCTTATTCAGTTCGCAGACATATAAAATTGTCAGGAAACAACACAATTCATAGTAAACTACTGGTCTGTATCTGAATAATAATAATAATGACTGTCATAAAAGGCTAAAATAAGTAAATGAAACAGGATGCATAATTCTAGACACAAACAATGTCCAAGACAACTTACAGATTTTGTTGAAGGCCACAATGTCACAGCTCTGGATGTACTCATTGGCCGGTTCAGTGCAGAGATGATCCTCTATCAGACTGTCAACAGAAACAATGATAGCTCGGCAGTGATAGGACCAACCGACACTGATATTCGGGTCTTCACTGTCGGTTCATATTACTGTCGGTTTTAGCTAAGAACCGGCAGTGATATTGGGTCATCACTGTCGGTTTTAGCGAAGAACCGACGCTGATACTATCACTGTCAGTTCGTGGCTTGAACCGACAGTGATATGCTGCAAGAAAACTTCATAAGTTTCTTTTATGATGTCCGATGAAGACAAACTTTATATCAAAGTTGTAGTACTCGACGAGATCTATAACTTTGTAGTTCAAACTTTTTTGATTTGAGATCGTTTGGATGTCCAAATATTTTCATTTGAAATCATCTGTCTAACGAAAATTACGTTTGATTTCTAAAATTTAAAATTTGAATTTTTCAAACAACCTCGGATGGAGAAATGCCCAAAACAAAAGTTATAGATCTCGAAAATTTATACAACTTTGTAGTTGACAACTTTTTCATTTAAAATCATTTACTACTTCAAAATGTTGTTTAAAATTAAATTTTGAAATAGTCGAAGAACTCTAATTTCTCTTTTCAATCTCTAGCTAAAACTTGTAACTAGTCTTTCTCCCTCATACCAACTTCAAATTTGATGATTTTTTCCTAAACATTTCTAAAATCATGCTCCAACAATTTATTGTGTTCTTACAGCTATTATTTTATCCATCTTTTCATGTGACTGTGTTTTATCTATTTTATCCAACTTCAAACGTCATTTTGGAATACTAAATGATTTCAGCTAAAAAAGTCATGAACATAGAAGTTGTAGAACTTATCAACATCTACAACTTTTGTTTTGGTCATTTCTTTATCCGATAAAGTGGCAGTAACATTAATCACAAATGTTACATAGCCCTCTTATAGTAACATTTGTGAACAATGTTACTACCACTATATCAGATGAATAAATGATCAAATGAGCAAAATAAAAGTTGTAGATCTCGAAAAGTTATGAAACTCTGTAGTTAACAACTTTTTTATTTGAAATCATCTTGTCAAGGAAAATTACGTTTGAATTTCTAGAATTTGAAATTCAAATTTTGTAAACGACCTTAGATGGACAAACTACCAAAATAAAAGTTGTAGATCTCAAAAAGTTATGAAACTTTGTAGTTGACAATTTTTTGATTTGAAATCGTCTTGTCAAATAAAATTACGTTTGAATTTTTAAAAATTTTAAATTTGAATATTTTTTAAACGACCTCGGATGGACAAATAGTAAAAACGAAAGTTGTGGATCTCAAAAAGTTATAAAACTTCTTAGTTAACAACTTTTTGATTTGAAATCGTCTTATCATGGAAAACTATGTTTGAATTTGTAAAATTTGAAATTCAAATTTTATAAACAACCTCAGATGGAGAAACTAACAAAATGAAAGTTATAGATCTCAAAAAGGTTATAAAACTTTGTAGTTGACAACTTTTTCATTTGAATTCATTTAGGGTCACAAATACCTATTTTAAATTCAGATGCAAATAAAATGACTAGGACGAAAATCTTATTTGGACACAAACAGCTTGCAGGTGGAGTGGTTAGGGGCTGAAGACGTGAATCAAGAGTTCAGAGGTTTAAGCGCCAGTGGCCGCGAAGCGTGCGTTTTTCACGCGGAAAATCGCGTGACTTGACTTACGACTGTGTGACTGTCCAGTGGGGCCTTTCCCAGCATTACATTTTTTCCTATTTTTTCAACCTGTTTTTTTGGATTTCCTGGAAACCACATCATTGTCGGTTCATAAGAACTGGTAGTGATATCAATCCCACATCACTGTCAGTACGCCACTGTTGGTTTAAAATTCAACAGTGATTATGAACCGGCAGCGATGTTAATCCCCACATCACAGTCAATATGTCACTGTCGGTTTAAAATCCAACAGTGAAGGGTTTTTTTAATCGGCAGTAATGTCAAGATCTAGGGCAGTGGCTAACAAGATGCTGGAGGATCCAACGGCGGAGGACAAGAAGTCGAATCTCCCGTGTGTCGTGTTCCCATCGCTCCCGTCCCGTCTCATCGACCCCGTTCACCAGCGAGTCTGCGCCGCTCCCGAACCTGTGCGTCCAACTCTGGTACAAGGAGCCATCGTCGTTGTGTGAGCCCGAGGCACCGTGCGTGCAGGGGCGCCGCCCACCGACGACGGCTTCATGTGGGGCCGGTCCCTGCACGGCGTCGTGATCGCGCGGGGCGATACGTGTTTTTCTCGAGGGCGTCAGTGTGTGGATGACATTGTACCGGTCGACGACCTATGAGGCAAAAAGTAAAATTTCTCTCCTCTAAAACC